TTTCAAGCCACAGGAATCCAGTTTGGGTCAGCCTTCCAGCAGGCCGAGGCTTTATGGAGGAATATTTGTATTTTGCTTCACTCTTTGCAGGACATGGAGGATGGGATTGGTGTCTAAATTTAACACTTACTGGTTTCTGTTCCTTCCTGGGTTTGGTGTGTGAATCTAGCAAATGCTTGTGGCTCAAGGCCTCTTTCGCCGTGTTTCTGGGAGGGAGAAAAGTGACCGGGAGAGATGATGGCTCTGTCCTGTCAGGACTTTTAAGCCCCCTTCAGACAGGCCATGAAAAAAGTAAATGTTCAGGACTCTGTCCGTAAGACATTTGTGTCTGAATACAAACATCCGGATAATGTTTTCCGTAGTTAAACCGGACGATGCCCGTAGTAACAGGTCCGGACTTGTCACGGACAGGGTGGCTGCTTCAGACTGGTGAGGTTGAGTTCCGGACAGGGAGGAGCGGGAGGAGGATGGGACCGGGGGACGCTTTGCGCACCTAGATAGCTTGCTCCTGTAGCATGCGGCGAACCATGGCAATCGCCTCCTACGGTACCGTCTAGACGCGCGACGGAGCGCTTCACACCGCTTCTGTGATTCCTTTAACCATTGAGCTTCATCATCCTGGTCTCTTATGCGTCATCGTGTGTACAGAATTATGCTTAACATAAGTCTGATCAGTGAGAAGAATTCTATCTCTTCGTCGGCCATGTTTGACTGAATGGCTTTGTTTGAGTAAATGACGCATGTACGCTCGCCGCACTGTTTACGCAACATCTGGGTACAGCCCCCCCCCCCCTCCCCCCCCGACATCTGGGCTGTGTGAAGGCAGCCGAAAGGACAAGTTCCGGTACAAAAGTGGTGTGTCTGAAAACACAGTTCTGGTTAAAAACCGGACTGAATTATCCACACATATTCCAGAATGTCAATCTGAAAAGGGTTCAAGAGAAGTCCGCATATCGTGACTGCTTTGGCAGTGAGTGACGTCACTGATCAGCGCCAAAAGGCGTTCACGAACATTAATAACATTAACTTTTTTATTCTGTCAGGGCTTCCCATAATTTAATCCATTCAGGAGATGGGGAGAGCAGCTGTGGGTGTAAAAAAGGGGTGACCAGAAGAAGGGCTGTTTTTTAATGGCACTCTGTGAGATGACAAAGTGGCGTTGTGGTAGCCTGACAAGCAATCCTATGAATGTGAATCTGAATGCAGTCGTGGGTCTCTGCATGCATTTGGACCGCACTAGGACCAGTAGTAACATAACAAACACATTCATCACTACGGGGAAGTCTGCCATAGACCGTCCAAGAAGAAGAAGTCGCTTCAAACAGGCGTCGTTCTCGAGCCGACGCCATCTTTGTAGTCTTTCTCCGTCATAGTTCTAAGCCTGCCCAACAAACGGAGTGTGCTGTGATTGGCCTGACCTAAGACTGTTCTGGCCAATGGTCGAGCTGCTACAGTGGAGCGTGGCTAGACCGGCCTGCAGAGCAAAAATGCTCTGCTGCTGCTGGAGTTGGTCTAGGTAGTTGTGGGAGATTTCAGCCTTATTTTCCAGTGTTGGGAGTTAGGGTTAGGGTGAAAGCTGTGACTCTATCGAGGCATACCCAGAGACTAGTCTGTTGGTTCCTGAAATAACCCAGAAAGTGGTCCTTTTGGGCCGGCTGTGAGGCATGCTGCAAAGGTCCGGTAAAATGAGCCGGATGTTCCGATAGTTGAAACCGGCCTCATATTGGTCATCTGCAAAATGGTTAATATACTGAGCTTCATTTGTTTTTAACGTACATGTAAACTAGGATAAAGGCTCCCAGTTTAGGTGTCGATGTCTCCTTCAGATCTTCCTGTTCACCGATAAAAGATGCTGAGCAGCTGCTGTATTTATGCAGTGCGTCTATGCGAGTCCTTTTATGACTTTTGGCTACATCTAGTACGTAAACTTCATGTAGGACAAGGATGTGGAGGTGACGATGCAACCTAAAGCAGCATCTTTGTTGTTCCTGTGCAGGCGTCTCACCTGATTTCAGAGTCGTTCAAATCCAGAATCCATCTGTGAAATGTTTACATACGTCCAGCTTCTTACTGAACATGAAGGCGGACTCTCAAACTCGGTAATCAGCTTTAAAAATATCCATTCATCTTTTCCCACTCAGTCAAATGTCTCAACCACAAGCACGTAAATCCAAGTATGCTCTGAATGTGAGGAATTTATTCATGTTCCATGTGAAACAACTCTTTCCCGCGTGAGCGTCATGACATCAACAAATGATGTAATCATGCTGTAAAATGTGTGTTTTATTCTGGACAGAGCAAACATTGAATAATTATTCATATTCTTGTGAGCATCTGAGCTGCAGCACCCTCAGAAAGCATCATTTAAACAGAGACCATGAACAGATAAGATGTCTCCTCCTGCCCAGGGTAATTGGGACCCAACTGGTTCCCACACCCTTGCAGATCGGGTCAGTCACCACAGGATGACGTCGTCCAGAAAGCTCAGCATTCCCACGCTGCTCTGCATGTGATCCAGAGCCGCTGGGACCGAGCACACATGGAATGTTCACAAAAGTTAACGGAAAACAAGCCCAAGCCGGTGGGTCAGAGGTCAGTTTTCTTTTTCCCTTTATTTTTTTT